ATGGCACTGGAGATCTGTAATCAGGTGGACAAGATGATGATATTTGCTGCCTACAGTCCACCAATGGACACATGGACAAAGGAAGAATTAGAAAACAAACAAGAAGTTCTCATAGTGATCACAGGAGAGATGATAATAGTAGGAGTAAGATCAATCATGATTGTTGGTACAATGTAATTGATGACAATATTTTAAAATCAATAGACTGGGTGGTCTGCAAACAAGAACATCAAAACATTGGGACTGGCAAATTCATGGACCTCATTGAGATTTATGTATCAACATGTTAAACAGGCCAGGTGAATAAGGGAAAGAGATGGTCCATTAATACTGGATTTGGTATTTTCTAGTTAAGAAGAAATCCTTAACCTTAGTATCTTTCTTCATTAGGTAAGAGTGGGGAAAGTGAAACAGCAGAAAAACTTGCCTTCAAGGAAGTAAATGCCAAATTTCGAGATACGATTAAGACACCCAAAAAGTTGTACCAAAACAAGAGATATGATTGGTTCAACATAAATTGTGAGAGAGCCAGAGTAAAGGCACGAGGGTAGGGTCTTTGCAAGATACACTTGAAGTATGGTGAAGGGAATATTTGAAACTCCCGCCAGTACAGCATTTTTTAGTAATAGGTAGCCACCTTTAATAGGTAGCCACCTTTAGTAAAAGGTAGCCACCTCTGCACATGCAGGGTAGTGCATCTCACATGAGAGAACTGTTCCCTCTGAAAGTTGTAAACAGGTGTGTAATGGTAACTAAGAAATAATTCCAACTACACTGTGATTTGAAAACATGAGGGAAATATAAGTGTTAAATATATTTATTTATTTATTTATTTATATACAAGAAGGTAGGTTAAGTTAAGAGTTAAGTCTTAACTGTGGGTTAAGAGAGTACATAGCAATGATAGTTTTCACTCTTGTAAAGCCACAAGCACACATAGCATTTATAGCATTTCAGGTAGGTCCTTAATCTAAGATAATTTTAAGTTGGTAATTTTAAGTAGGTAATTTCCAGCAGAATTGACAAAAATGTTTATAGGCACATTATAAGAAAATATGACAATACACAAAGATTAGATTAATACACAATAATGACAATACACTATAATGACATAGTTGGTACATTAGGGTAAAATTCAAGGGTTATCAACTAGTTCATTGTACCACAATTTGAGGATCATTTCAAGGAATAATGCAGTAAAATATGCATTCAATATAGCAATCATGAAAACTATGTAGAAATGTAACTATGTAAAATTATGTAGATGTAGAAAACTAACCCTAATTTTTTTTAATTTGATCAGCACTGGATCACTTCATTCATTTTAATTAGTAACAGTTGAGGTCTTTTAATATCTTGTGCAATGTAGATATTTTTATATCTAGCTGCATGCTTTTAAAATCATTTCTTTCTTTGGTTGCTTAAACAGTGCAGTCTGCCCTCAATCTGTGCAAGGAATGTTTAGTGAATATTGTACTACATTTACAAAGGATATAAATAAGCATCATGACAGTCAATAATATGTACTATAATGTGATAGAAGGTGCCTTGTGAGTTGCATGGGCATCACCATGAAGTGATGCAAGGCGGAAGTCCTTAGTGTTGGTCACCTATCTTGGGCATCGAGGTGGAATATGGGCAACCCCGTACGCTTTGCTTGAGAGTGATTGTAGTGCCAAAACTTATATACACTATAGATGTGTTCCTGTAAAATAGTCTGTGCAAAGAAAATTTTCTTTGTACAGATCATTGTTAATATACATTATAGGCAACACATTAATATGTTTTAGAAACCTCCAAAAGGCAACTTTTTCACCAGTTTCATCACGTTTTAGAACCCATTGAAACCAACCTTTTTTAAGCCTACCTTGAAATAGTTCTAGAGATCAAGGTCTCATAGCCTAGTCTCTGACCAGCAATGTTTTACAGACCATGAATAGGACATCACTCCTCTCACACTCCAGCTACAATTAACACCTTTATGCAAGAATGTGTAAAAAAAATTAACACTTGCCAATAATGTAAATGATGGAAGGCCTGCAAGAAGTCAGGAAATCAGAGTGTAGTGTCCAGGTCCACACCTGCACTGGCTAATGGTAGAAGGTGAGGGACTATGCAGGCCAGTTAACATAATAGTAGTGAAATTTACTTTACTATACAAATATGTCCTTGCTCGCTTCAAATTTTTATGTTAAAGAACAAATAACGTAACTGAAATCATGTGCTCTAAATTTACACAGATCTAGGACCGAGTGTACAAAAAATTAATAGGCTTACCAGTCTAACTACTACATTGCATGTAATAACAGTTTGCATAAAATGGGGATTCTTGATGTTTATCTTGTAGATAATAATGTATACTTTTTATTGCTTTATAAACCACTTTACTGTGCAGTATTTCATTTGCTTGCAGATACCAGATGTGATTTGTGGGAACAGAAACACTGGCCCAACCATTGTGTTCATTATCATATTGTCTGATTCTATCTTTTGTCCTCAGCGTCCTTCCACTCAAAGGCTGTTACCAACTGTACAAAGCATGTGGGGGTCACCTCACTATGGATGACTTCCGTGGTCGCCCTAAAGAAGATATTCAGTTGAAAATAACTGGTACTCAGAAACAAATGACTGATAATCATATCATTGCTTGAAATCGGTTGTTAAAGTTTCTCTACACACACACACATGACTATAATGTGCATTATATATAATATATATTATATATATATAATATATATAAATATATAATATATAATATACCTGTATATAATCACAGTATTATGTACATTTATTAAATATCTGTAAATTTTAATCAGATGTTAATTAAGCTTATCATCTGCACATTTATCCTCATGTTATATTGCAATTTTTATTTTGCAACATAATGATCCTGTAGTGTAGTAGTCTACACCTTCAACTGTGAGCCAAGGATCCTGGGTTCAATCCCGAGCAGGACAGAGATGGTTAGGAATGTTTTCTTTCTCCTGATACCTCTGTTCACTTAGCAGTAAATAAGTATCAGATAATTAGGCAGCTGTTGTGGGTTACATCCTGGGAAAGGTCATCAGTAATTGGCCTAAGGGAATCTTGATAAACCAAACAGGCTTCCTGTTCCCAATTATAGGAAACATATTTACCTGAATTTACTTGACTTGTGCAATATGTTGACATTTTATTTGTGGGTTAAACAAATATGCACAACTAGGTACCTGTACATGGATTTTATTATTATTTTTACAAAAATACTGTAGCAATTATTTAACAAATGGGCAGTACTGTATAATGGAGACAAATGTGATATTTTGATACTGTACACTTGAGAAACCTGATGAGCCTTGCAAGGCTCAACTTTTAAAACAAAAAATAATAATTAATAATAAATAATAATACAAAAATATTTTGTATTATTTACTCAACAAAACATATTTGGAGTTTTGTAGACAAAAATGTGTTGCAAATAATAATAATAATTTATTATTATTATTGTCCGAAACATATACAGTATATGCTTCGACTCCCTGAAGCTATCAAACTGACATGTGCCATATTAGTTTGGTCCCATGAGTCCCTGGAGTTCTAGTGCCTACCAGAGAACAGAGCCAGAACCTGGTCCCCTCAGAGAGGCAAACGAAGCAATGGTCATTATGAGCATTCTACATTGAGAATGTCATGTCTGCCATCGACCAGGGAGGGCACCCAGAAAGATAGGCGAACCAACACACACTCCTAACTAGTAAAAATTGCAACTTATGTCCAATCAGAGCCAAAGAACTCGCCCCCTGCCCCCTTCCCCCCCCCCCCCCCCCCCAAAAAAAAAAAAAAATTGTCCTCCAACCAGCACACCTGCTCATTCAACCTGTCCTCTTAAAATAACATCACTTTTTGCTCGTGTGTGTGCTATGGCCAAAAATGGATGTAATTTGAAATGAAATCAGCTCACAAAAGTGACATACTGTCCCATTTTCTGTTTTGAGTCCTCCGGCTTAGTTAAGTTAGGAGAGTAAAGGAAACTTTCTATTAACTGTTATCATGATGATTTGAAACCTTAGGAGAACGTCTTACTCTCCCAAGCTACCAGAGGACCCTTCCTCTTTTGGGAAAAAAAAATCCTAAATTTATCTTCATTTTTTCATTTTTAAATTACGTTCATTTTCGGCCATACGGGCAGACAGCTAAATTCAGACATAATTTGTAAGAGGACAGCTTGGCTCGTTAGTGCCAATCCCCCCCAACCCCTTCCCTGAAAGAGGGAAGGGAAAACCTGCTCAGGCGAGCCAGCAACCCACCACCACAGTTTATAGAATGATGAAAAAACTGCCGACTGGAGGGAGGATCGGTGTCAGGGAGCCTCTGGGGCTTGCCCAGAAAATTGCGTTTCATTACATTGAACACTGGTTTTCTGTGGGGAGCCCCGTTGACTCCCTCAAGCTAACTACTCACAGATAAGGAAAAATAGGGACAAACCCAGTAGGTGGCAGCACCCCAAGTCTCAAGATGAAGACAAGACTCCAGAATGAGACAGACATCCCAAAGCCACACAAGGCCTACCTTGAGATTACCTTGAGGTGCTTCCAGGGCTTAGCATCCATCCCCTCGGTCCGGTCGTCGACCAGGCCTCCTGGTTGCTGGACTGATCAACCAGGCTGTTAGACGCGGCTGCTCGCAGCCTGACGTATGAGTCACAGCCTGGTTGATCAGGTATCCTTTGGAGGTGTTTGTCAAGTTCTCTCTTGAACACTGTGAGGGGTCGGCCAGTTATGCCCCTTATGTGTAGTGGAAGCGTGTTGTCTCGGGCCTCTGATGTTGATAGAGTTCTCTCTCAGAGTACCTGTTGCACCTCTGCTTTTCAATGGGGGTATTCTGCACATCCTGCCATGCCACATCCTGCCAAGGCCGGAGCCCGAATGTCAATCAAGACATATTCCCCAAAAACAGCAGCGAGAGCAGTATATTTCCTCAACATTGCCACAAGGGTAGATTGCAGACTGGCTGGGCTTGATAACCCTGTGGACAACCTGAAAGACACGAGCCCTGGAACAGGGAACCAGGGAAAACCATGGAAAACCTACAGACCCCTCCGGAAACCAGCCGTCTCATTCATCAGAAAAGGAGAGGGCAGCAAACTAACAAAACGTCCCCCAGGACCAAAAGAGCAAAAACCCGTGCCGGTGAAGAGCATGAAGCTTTCCAACCCAATCCCCAGAGGTGATAACCAACAAGAACAAGGCTTTCAGAAAACAATCCTAAATCAAAGGGGCACTACAAGCCAAGGAGAGGAGAGGAGAGAAATGAAAGCATCCAGTTCAAAGATCAAGAAGGCTCCGGTGCCGCAAGAGCAGGAGGGGAAAAATGCACGAGAGAGCTTGCGGAATGGAGCAGAGGTAACATCCACCCTGAACGCCAGTATTCGGCATGAGATGCCGGTCCTGAAAAAGCAAAGAAAAGACAAAACAACTGGAACAGACACCAACGAGACCCCCACAAAGGGAAAGGAAATGGCGGAAAGACCGCCAGGAGACAGCACAGTGTTGCTGAGAGAAAGATCGCAGGTGGAACACTTTCAAAGAAGCCACCTGATCGACATATAAAATGCTATACACCCACATCAAAAAGACTAGATGTGAAGACCGGAAGAGGAGGGGCAAACCAGCGAGGTACCTCACCAGCCCAACCTGCTGAAAAGAGGCAGAGCCACGGAAAACTCATGGGTTCAGACACCGAGCAAGCAGCACCTGAAACTAAGGCTGAGCTGGCCATCATGTGACCAGAAGCCCTTGTACCTGATAGGATTCGAGCTGAACCAACACCCAAAGCAACAACTGGACCTGGGGATAAAGGAACAGGAACCTCCACCTCGACCAATTCTGCCAAAAAGCATCCACCTCAAAGACCTCGCAGTTGGGGAATAGTGCCACTGAAAATGGGAAATGCTGGGACCATGCCAACATGAAGAGGTCCACCTCCAGGTGCCCAAACGTCTGGCAAACACTCCCCAAATCTGATCCGTACAGGGAGCCAAACTCCAAGAACTCGGTAGAAGAGCTACTGAAAGGAACCAGCCCCAAAGAGCCACAGACCACAGAGAACCCCCGGTTGAGACAATGAACCATAGTGGCGCAGTCCGAATGGAGCCGGATCACAGAGCCCTGAAGGATCCAAAATATCTGCAGTGCAGCGCCAGCCGCAAACTCTAGTACCATGCTGGGAGCCCAATGCCCCTGTCCTGCCCAGTGAGCACTGGTCACAAAGCCCCAGCCGAGGGATGAGGCATCCTTGAACACAGAGCGAGGACAATGGAAAGCGCCATGGTACAGAACCCCGAAAACCCCAAAAAGGAAGCCGAAGACGCAGTGGCCGCTGCTCCTGTGTGGGTTCGTCGCGAGGCCGTGCTGGAGGGCATGGGTTGTAGGCAGGGTGCCTCCTTCGGCAGCGTAGGCAGTAGTGCTTGAATGAACATGAGGTGAAAGTGCAGCCGGGTCCCCTCGAGTGGTAGGCGAAGCAGTAGCCCGGGGGTAGCCCAGCTGCCCGGGCGCTGGAGAGAGAAAGTGCTGCCGGTCGCCCTGCCTCCTGCCTCATTGGCTGAGCAGCGGCCTGGGCGAGGCGTTGCACCGAGCGAAATTCCAAGTCCAGCCTGTAGTCCAACCATGAACAGCCCGACCTCTCCCTGTCCCATCTGAAGGCCTAATCGTACCACATCCAATCGCCTTTGAGGGTCGTCTTCATGGTCTTCACGTAACGCGCATAGGTAAACAGCGCCTGAGCCTCCGCTGAGTGCTTCTCGACGTAGATAGTGGCGTAGATGTCAAGGCTATGCGCCCACTGGTCCGACGTCAGGGGCGGCTGCTTCTTACCAGGCTGCTTTGCGTCAGGGAATGTCGCAGAGTGGGACTCGAAAGAACCTGATTCCCGCTCATAGGCAAGCAAGTGCCCGAGGTCCACATACTTGTTTGCCCAGACCTTCTCCCGAAGGGCTTGCGGGACGTGCACGCCCAAGAGTGGGATGCTGGAGCCCGTGGTCGCCCGGAGTTGCCTCGGCCAGGGGCTAGAAAAAGTGGGGGGCGCTCTCTCCTCGGGGGACTCGTCGAAGGAGGACGGACTGGAGGAGCTCGCACGTCGCCTCGACGTATGCCCCCTGGCCCTGGCCCGTGGGCGACGGTCGGTGGAGGGGGGCAGGGCGGCTGTGGCAGCCGCGGCAGGGTCGGCCTCGGAGGTCCCCATGGCCGGAAGGCTTGTGGCGTGAGAGGGCCCCCGGGCCTGCGCGATGAGCGCCTGCAGCGTCGTCCAATCGTCGGCCGACAGGGGTGGAGGCTGCGGCGCTGTGCCACCCGCCGCTATGCCGGCAGTGGGCCTCTGGGATGTGTGGTCGCCGTCCATATCAGAGCCGCCCGAGGAGCCCCCCGAGGATGGGGAGGCGAAACGGGCGGGCTTCGTCCTGGCCCTGGCCGGCTGCGTCCTTGCACCACTGCGCTGTTGTCCTCGCGTCGACGCCGCCCGAGCCCTCTTCCGTGTTGCAGTTGGTGCATGATCCGGCTTCTCGCCACTGTGGAAAGGTGAAAACGTAAGCAATGGGCACTGCTTTAACACTGCAAAAGTGTTATTAAGTAAATACCGGGCATAACTGAAGCTGGACTATGTAACAAATTAATTTTAGAAAACTTAAATAAATAATATAAATAACATAGTGAGGCCAAAACAGCGAGAGGCATGAGGCTTAAGCAGTGCTAGAAAACAGAGAATAAATAGCGGAGTAAATACAAGACAAACTGAAACTGAACAAGTAAATAGCTTAAGACCGTATTATAATATACTTATATTTAAGCTGAACAAATAAAAGATAATATATACTTGTATTTAAGCTGAACAAATAAAAGAGTAAACAGTGATAGTCATGGATAATTTAGGTAGAATAAAGCAGGACTATACAAGGTATAGGATGGTTAGGTTAAACAGTAATATATGCATGGTATAGTTTGAATAGATTAAAGCTAATGTTCATGGGATAGATTGGTTAATTAAACAGTACTTATTCATGGAATAGTTGGTCTAGATTAAAACAATAATGGTCTCAAAAGTGAAAACAAAATTATTTGCGTATCCCACAGCAATGGACACTGCCTTAACACTGGAACAGGATTAGTAAGTAAATACAAGGCATAACTGAAAGCTGAACAAAGTAATAAATTAATTTAGGGAAACTTAAATAAATGATAACATGGCGTAGCTCAACGCTTCGTGAATCGTGATGAACCGGGAGGCGCAACGGGAGGGAGGGGAGTGAGAGCGAGACCTGACTTCCCGCGCTTTTTATGCCACCCAGGCTGGCCGCACTGCGCCTTGCGGAACGCGATGCGCAATTGTCTCTTCCTTCCCCATCAGAAACTCCACCGCCTTTCGT